AGCAGATAATATAAAAGTATTGTCTTGCAAAGTTCATTTGCTCAATGTCCACTTCATGGAACAAGGGCCACACATTCCATCAGCATTTATATCTCTCTTGTTATGGCAAACATTGCAAACTGGTTCAGTAACAACAGCACCTCCTGCCCCTCCTCCTCTGGCTTGTCTCTCGTTAGATGAAGAGTTTATTCTCTGAGCCGATTCTTTGTAGCCTCCAAACCTAGTTTTCATGTCTTCGATAGCCGATGGTTTAGGCTTTCTAGGGAGAGGAGGTTTATCAGGCGATGGTGTACGACCTAATGGCTGTCTTTTAACACCAAACTGACTAAAATAAGATGTTTATTTTATTAATTCATTTTATTTATTTACTTGTTTTTAGCTGAAAGAAGGTTAGCTACTTCTTGAAGATCGGGACAGTCGGACTTTCCTAGTTTCAACAATCTGCTCTCTCTCTCTATCTCTTCTTTCTTTGATTTCAAAGAGGCTCTTAAACTGGAGTAATACTGGACTGCGTGATGATCAATGCACTTCTTCAAATCATCTAATAATGAAATAGTGAATAAGGACCACGGGTGTTAATAATTTTCACCATTTGTTTTTTCTAAAAGACAGCTCGTCATGACTACATCATTCTTCACTGCTGGGGACTGGAGTCTCTTTAGATATGCTCCAACATGCAGTAACATGATCTGTAAATCTTTAGGCATCACTATATATACAATAAGAATCATTTAGGTTAGCAATAAGGCATAAGCATACTTTTAAAATCACTTTCAAATTGCCGAACAAAACTATCAGGATCTGCCATTGAGCCAGTACCTCTTCCAGTAGCTCCAGTGACCCTTCCCAAACCAGTAGCCCCTCCAGTAGCTCCAGTAGCCCCTCCAGTAGCTCCAGTAGCCCCTCTAGTAGCACCAGTAGTCCCTCCAGTAGGACCCGATGTCCTAGTGCTTGGATACACATCTGAGCGTGGTCTCTGTTTAGCAGGAACTCCTCCTCCTCCTCTCTGTTGACTGGGGACTGGTACATTATTCAACTGATTCAAAGGACTAGTGCTCCTACCACTGACTGGAGTTGATGTGTTATAATATGGTCTACTGGTCGTTATATAACCAGCTGTATCAATATTAGCAGAGGTACTAGTTGCAGTTGAAAACTGGCTAGCAGAAGAGGAGGAGAAGGGTGGGTGGGCTGCAGTGGAGGTAGAATAGGCTGGAGTAGAAGTAGAGTGGCCAGTAGAGGTTGATACTGGTGCTCTACTGGTCTGCCTTGATCCAACATTTATATAATAAGGAGTCCCATCATCAAGACGAGGGTATAGGTGAGATTGAGTGTGCCGGGGTACTGAAGGAGAAGGCCCTACACAAAAACAACAACAATAAGAACAACAATAACAACAACTTACTGTTGTTAGCATAAGATATTGGTGCTTGCTGTTTGTATCTCTGACCAATGGCAGCATCAGTACGAGAGTTAGTATCAACGTTAACAGAATCATCAATGACATCACTCAACGGCTTTGATCCACTAAAATAAGCTCCACCTCCTGACACACCTCCTGTACTTCCTGGTACGGCAGTAGGTGGAGTCAAATTATTAATGATATTATTGGATTTACTCATGGGAGCTAGCAGCTGTGATGCAGGTGCTGTTATGCTGAACTGGATCATATCAGGTACTTCTGATTTAGGAGGAATTGGAGGGGCGGGGCTAGCAATAGGCGGAGTTTGTGTTGTAGGAGTGGCTTTAGTTATGGGAGGAGGAGCTTGTGTTGTAGCTGGAGCTGTGCTCTCTTGTTTCTTGATCTACAAATAATGGTAATAAAAAAGGTTAATAAATCTTTTCCAGTTACCCCGGTAATATCAACAGTAGTGCTGTGAGGATTAGTGTATATCAGTAGCAGAGGCTGGTAGTGAGCTTTACGACACTCCTTCTTCACTTCATTCCAGTCACCAACCTGATTCATAAAAAATAAAAATAAATGAATTATTGAATAAATAGTACAAAAACTAATATAAATATTTTAATACGTATGTAATATTGATTACCTTCCTCACTCTGGCATCATCAAAGTAGATCCACGAGTGTTGCTTGGTGTGGTATGAGAATGTGGTGTAATGGCGACCATAGTAAGTGATCATGGCGGTTAGGTTAAACTCCAGTGAACCAGTTCCTGACACTCTATCAAATATCTAAATAAATACAATGGGATAGTCTACTAAATTTAATAGGGTGACCTGTACAAAAAATAAAAAAGTGTACATAATTTTAGTGGGTAATCAGTATAATTCGTGTATGTGCCTACTCTTGATAGACGTATTTTGAGTCCAATGCTGTTAAGGACACTCATAATGTATGGGACTGTGGGAGAACTGCTGTCCCAAATCATACCAATGCATACTAGAAGAAAAAAGAAAGGATTAGTGGCAAAATAAACGTACATGCATACTTACAAACATCAGGATTGCTCAGAAGCATTCGTCTCAATTTGACTCTGCAAGTGCACTAAAAACAACAAACAACAAACAAATAGTTAAATAAATAAATAAATAAGGACTCACAATTTTGCATGGGCTATAAGAAGAAGCGTCTGATTCTGCCGCCATACGTAAGGTTCTCTCAAAGAAGTACTGATCAGGTTCAGTACTTCCAAGACGCTCATTCTCATCTCTATTAATAACTTCAATAACCAGAGCCACACCCACTCGTTAATAACTTACTTAATAACTATAGTCGAAACGTAATGCACAAATTCAACAAATGTATGTGGTTCCTCCATTTTGCTACAGGCGGGACAAAAAATCTAGAGCAACAATGAAAATAAAAGTACAATGTGAAACAAAGCTTCTTAGAAACACAAACACTCACTTGTTCAACTGTAGTCAGTGCAAACTTCATATGAGGTATACACCATTTTACAGCACAGCTCTCAAGATCAGCAGTACCAGTTAAATGATAATGAACCTTCTCTAGCAGCTTCTCCTGGAGGCAGCATGATTTAATATAGCACATTTGTAATTATTAAGCTTACAAAACATTCGGCGGCATCGTCCATTATTCCCAGCTGGAACCTGTCCTGGTCTTTATAGCAGTTAGCCAAAGCATTCCTGAGCATGTCAGGAGGTATAGAGTTCTGCTCTGAATGCTGATACTGTGTGTACAAAACCTAAAGGAGAGAAGATTACAGTACATTGTACATAGAGGTCAAGGGGTTCATTATATAATTACATGTACAAATTACATGTACAAATTACATGTACAATTATTGTGATACCGATATTATTATTATTGGTATAATTGCTATAATGCATTAATTATTACTAAAGTGTATTTTGGCTATTTTGCAGTACTTTTAAAATTTTCTGAAAAATCCAATTTTGATCGGAATCAGCTCAAACTTTCTACACAACATAAGTACATGTATATGCATCAGAAAAAATTATAAAAATGAAGAATTCTCTCCTAGTCATTTTTGGCAAAATTTGGCCGATGACCCTGTACTATAGTACAGGGACTTTGGCCCGATTTTGGAGTAACTTTAAAAATTCATAAAAAATCCAAAATTGATCAAAATCAGCTCAAACTTTCTACATAACATAAGAACATGTATATGCATCAGAAAAAATTATAAAAATGAAGAATTCTCTCCTTTTAATTTTTGGCAAAATTTGGCTGAAGACCCTGTACTATAGTACAGGGACTTTGAACCAATTTTGGAGCAACTTTTAAAATTCATTAAAAAATCCAAACTTAATCGAAATTAGCTCAAACTTTATAGGCAACATAAGTACACGTATATGCATCAGAAAAAAAATTTTTAATGGAAAATTCTCTCCTAGACATTTTTGATGAAATACCCTATACCTTGCCCTTATGGCCAAATTCTATTACAATCCCTATTACAGACTAATACTGCTATTACGGTATTACTACTGCCCAATGTCTAGGGAAGGAAATAGGTACATAATGACAAGTAATTCTGGCACAAACTAAACATGACTGTCACCTGATGGCAAACACGACACATTAGCAATCACTCTATATATAACACACAGTTATACCATAGTGGATCATGTGACCATCACATGATGACTGCATACCTTCAATGCACAGAATATGCAGGTCTCACCGACACACTTGTGCTCCTCTATTTGCCGGAAACTTCTTCTAAAAACATCAACATGCCACAAAACCTGAAACGAAAAACAATATACTGAAATATGCTGACAGTATACTAGAATATCCTAATAAAATACTAGAATACAGTACTATTCTGCTATTCTTTACCTGTACAGCTGCATTAAGGAAGCAGTTATTCTCTCCTGGCCTGTTCCTCAATCCTCTATTAATGACGATGGACTCAGATCTCTCTAGTGACACTGGAGGCCAGTCTATTCCTCCTCCTACTCCTCCATGAATGCTGAGGGTTCGGTCACGTGATGATTCAGGGGCTCCAGTACCACGATAGACTGGTCGAGCCGTTATGCCGTCGTTCTTACCACTGCCAGAGAAGAAATTGACAAGTCCTCTCACTTGATCCATCTCCTTCTTTCCACTTTGCACTGGGTGGGGCTAATAAAATAATTGATGGGCGTGGACACTGAATTAATTATATTAGTAGTCTACTAGGGTGTGGCTAGTCTAGTTTAAGCATGGTAGGAAAAATGTAAAATCTTTTAAAGATTATTTATTATTGTAATTTTTAGACCAAGAATAAAATCAAGACTACTCAAAAGACAGCAAATGTTCTTCATCCTAACTCTAGGAAGGCGGCAAGGCTGACAAGGGAGGCTCAGAGACTGATAAAGATTGAAAAGTAATTTTAATAATTACAAAATTAATTTTATTTAGTTTTTAAGGATTAAACAGAGAAAAGAGAATAAGACGTCAACTCTTGGTAATGCAATTATGTATAATTGTTTATTGTTTTTTGTTTGTTGTTTATTATTTTCAGTATCTAAGTTGATGTGGTTTAGAAACTCCTTGGACGAGACAAAGTCATTTTACACAAGAGAAGAAGTGGAAGAATTAATAGAACTGTAAGAAAATGATGTGGTCATTTTACCTTTGTATTTTTTGCCATATATTTGTTGGATACTGTCAGTTATCAATAATACTATGCAAAAATGGAAAGTGGTGATTTTGGAGCCAATGCTCAAGTTTTTTTTTACATAACATAATCTCTCTCTCTTTTATCTTTCTCTCTTTTACAGATATTTACATAGATTAGATGATGAACTGGACTCCATTACAGAGAGACAAGAGAGGGGCTGTCTGTCAGCCCATTACAGAATGCAACATGCTTCTAGAGAAGACACTATTCGTTTATTAATTACTCAAGAGCAACATACATTCCTTACTACTGGAATAGGTAACCATAACAGATATATTATTGTAATTATAACGTGTTATTTAGAGATACCCGATTTGACTAATGGTAAAGTATATAAAACGTTTCTGTAAGTTTTCTTGTTTTTGTTTTATTTTATTTTGCTATGTATGCACAGGGAGTGGTCTGGAGATGCTAGCAAGATTTCAAACTTGAAAATGAAGAAATTCAAAAAAATTAAATGAAATTTAAACTTCATTATTATTATTAATTTTATTATTCATTCTCATTAATAATTATTAATACTCAGAAAGTTACGCCCAGAGCCAACCTTCCAACCAACGTGCTTACTGCAAAGTAAAAGTTTACTACCTGTACCTGAAGCATCAAACAGTGGTGGAAATGATCATTCTTATACTAATTCTTTTTTTACTATCCCCTCTGATTATAAGCGGCACAAGTAAAAAAACAAGAAATACCATTACATGTAATTCTTTCCCTCTCCTTATTTTTAGCTGGAGTGCAGTGTTTTGAAACTCAAGACGGCTGCTCCTTAACCGCAGGAGTGTGTAATGCTAGCACCTGCTACATGAGGATTCTTGCTAAAGCCAATCCGCGCAACATAAGTGAACACCAGTTCTCTTATATCTACGGGTGCCTTCCTGAGGAAGAAGGGGGGAATGGGCCTAGTGTGATTGCTAGTCTCTGCAGTGGTCCGGCTTCATGGGACCGTGAACTCCTCATCTCTTATACTTGCTGCACCTCTGATCATTGTAACAAGAATATTGAACCAAGGCACGATATTGAGAGCCTACTGATAAATAGATATAATAATGACAGTAATGATCAGGAATCATCCTCAGTTTTCGTCTCATCGTCAGTTCCTTCCTCATCATCAGTTCCTATCTTGCCGTCAGTTCCTATCTTGCTGTCAGTTCCTATCTCGCCGTCAGTTCCTATCTCGCCATCTGTTCCTATCTCATTCTCTTCATCGTATCAGTACTTGTATGACCTCACCTCTCTTCCAACTAAGGATACATCAACTTTTAACAATCCCAGTATAATAATTTACTTCAGCGAGCCGACCAGTAAGTTTTTAAAGTATAAGGGATTTTTAATTTATTTAATTTTTATTTAGACGACCCTCACTTGTATGACCTCACCTCTCTTCCAACTAAGGATACATCAACTTTTAACAATTCCAGTATAATAATTTACTTCAGCGAGCCGACCAGTAAGTTTTTAAAGTATAAGGGATTTTTAATTTATTTAATTTTTATTTAGACGACCCTCAGCAAATATCTGATTTAAATACAGTAATACCTGTAATTGTGGTATTACTTGTCATAGCTGCAGTCATTATCCTCCTTGCCATCTTTATTCATCGTCGATCTACTAAATCTAACAACAGAGGAAAACAAAGAGGCAATGAAGGAAGTACCAAGGTAAGACCTGAAGATGTTGAAAGAGAAATGGAAATATTGAGCACATCCGGGTCTGGAATGGGCGAGAGAGTCCTCACTAGTCGCACCATTGCGATGGACATCACAATACATGAGCATTTGGGGCGAGGAACCTATGGAAGCATCAGTCGTTGCACATACCGAGGCAACACTTTTGCTGTCAAACGGTTCACAACAATTAATGAGTCATCTTTTCGGAGGGAGCTCGGCATATACAGCTTCAGCTTGACCCAAACGAATATCCTCACTTATATAGCAGCTGACATGATTACAATCGATGGTGTAATGGAGTGCTGGCTAATACTTCAATATTGTCCCAGAGGCTCCTTATATATGGAACTAACGTCTTCTCCGCCATCGCTTGAGACTGGAGTCAGGATGGTCTACTCGGCCTGTATGGGCCTCAGCTATTTACATTCGTCTCTTCAAGGTTATGGGCCTATTGCAAAGCCTCGTATTGCTCACAGGGACATCAAGTCAAAGAATATTTTAATGAAAACAGCAGAAACCTGTTGTATTGCTGATTTTGGCCTTTCTATTGCTGATAGTGAAGATTTTCAGTCATTTATATGCTTGAAACAGGGTACCAATAGGTACATGGCTCCAGAGATCCTCAACGAGACGATCGACGTGAAGGACTTTGTTTCATTCTTAAGGGCTGATGTTTACTCTTTTGCACTTGTAGCCTGGGAAGTGTTTAACAGGTGCAATATTGAACAAGGTAAGGTGTTTGTGTCATTAGAATAACATTGCACTGTGTGTGTGGTTTGTACATGCTATTGTGAGGTTGGAATTTCACTTGTAATTATCAGCTGCTACATGTAATATTATGATTGTGTGTATGTTCACCTTTCAAGAGTTGATTTTATTTATAGGTGGTATTGCTAGAGAGTACCAACTCCCATACAGTGACCACCTGCCTAACAACTCTTCCATTGAAGATTGTAGGAGGGTGGTAGTTGAAGAAGGGACAAGGCCAGTAACATCAGAATGGTCCAAAACCAGGGTATGCTTGTTCTTGTAATGTGTATCAATTACAATACTTCTCCCTATTTTTCAGTTTCTTGAAAAACTTTCTGTTACAATTAAGGAACTATGGGCAGAAAGGGGCAGTGAAAGGCCATCAATAGAGCTCCTTCGAAAGAAGATCGAAAAAGAAGCAAGTAACAATGATATAGTCCTCAGCCATTAGGAAGAAATTATTTACAACAAAATTGTTTTGATTTCTTGTTCATTTTTCTTGATTAAACTTGTTGAGTTGTTAATAATCAGAAATTAATTTACAAAACTCAACTGTAAATGTATGTGTTAACACACTTAATAATACCGTATAAGTGGTTTTTTTTGAGGGAATTATATTTCGCGAAATCTGCTAAAATTCCAATTCGCAGATTTTAATTTCGCGAATTCTACCACGTGTGCCATGTGGGTACCGTATTAAATTGATTTTCGCGGATTTTATTTTCGCGAATCACGAGGGAATCCGCGAAATTCGCGAAATTTGCAACCCTAAAAAAAACCACTTATACAGTAACAGATGAGAGTTTGAGTGGAAAAGATAGTGAATATTAATAATAATGAAATTGATAAGCACGATATGTATGTGAGCAAGATATGTGTGTGTGTTTATTGACTTATCGATTGAGGTAGTTGAGAGAATTGAATGAGAGTCTGATAGGAGATCGAAAGGAGATTGAGCGTTGAGAATTTGAAGATGATGAGTGTTCGAGAATTTAGACTGCAGACTAACAGACTAGGACTAAGACTAACTGAATTACAATTGGGTTCTTCCTTAAATAGTAGTGCATGTGGTTATTAAATTAAAGTTAAGTTATTAGTTGTAAATTATTATTAAAGTAAATTAACACTACAAACTTGTTATTGATAATAATAATTATTATAATCTATTCATTTGTTATCATTCCTAGAATTGATTTAACTGATGATTTTGATAAGTATGATTTATATACAATGTAACAAAAGGAACTACTTTTGCCAGCGATGAGCGCATATATGCTTTTGCTGCTTTATATTAATCTTTTTATCTTTGAACAGAGTGCTACAAGCAATAAACATTCATTAACAACTAAAGTCTATTGGGTTCACATTAAGAGGTTTTATTATTGAAAATCTTTGGAACTAAAAATAAGCCAAACATTTAAAGGAGCTTTGCAACCAGTAACCAAAGACTCCTAACTACATTGGAGAGTGTATCAGTTACAATATTTTCCCCTATTTTCAGTTAAGGAGTCATGGTCTGAGAGGGTGATGATAGCTGATAGGCCAATGATGGAGTTTATACGGAGGAAGATAAAAAAGAAGCAAAGAATGCTAACATTAGACTGAGACATTAGGAAGAGATTGCAAACATAATGATGATTAATGTTGATTTTGCTGGTAATCATCATAGTTAAGTTATTCATTTAATTCCTGGTAGAATAAATAAAAAATGTATTGATAAAGATCAAAGAATGAAGATAATATACTTAGACATGTAGGAGGACACAGGAGGTTAGTCCGTAGCCTACTCATTTGGTATAATTCCTGGAACCACTTCAACTGATGAATATAGTTAAGAAGCCATTGTTCCCTCTCTTCTATGCCTAGCTTGTGACCATTTGCTGTGTGTTGTGTGGACTTTATCTGATTGTGAGTACTCTACCTCATTGTGAACATTCTATCTTAAGTAAGTGTTTGCACAAGGATTATTATTTTTGTTCTAATTTTACAAATTTTATTTGACTCTGTTAATACATTATGTTCTTGTTATTAATTATTGTGAAGGATATGCTTATAGATCAACCTAAATTTTATCCTTTATACATAGCTAGCTATATTACATGTACTTATGCCTATTATAGCAGGACTCTTGCTGTTAACAAAAGATCAACTTGTAATGTGTACACACCTAGATAGATAGTAGCATTTAAATGCAAAAGGAAGCTCTCAAATTTTTCTATATAAGCAATGAAGCATTATTATTTTTGCAGGTTGTGCAAAAAGAAATGACAGAAGAT